GGGCCGCCGCAGCGAGGGAGCCCGCGCCGGGAGCGAAGCGAAGCAGAGCAGGCGCCGCCGGGCCCAACGGCCGCCGCCTCCTTTGTGCCGCGCCGCAGCCATGAGGGCCGCGGGGTGGCGGCCGCGCTAGGCGCCCGCCGCGCCGGCCACAGCCACGGCCCGCAGCATGGAGGCGCCGCCGCGGCCCGGCGCCGGGGACATCCTGCGGCGCAACCCGCAGCACGACTACGAGCTCGTGCAGCGCGTGGGCAGCGGCACCTACGGCGACGTGTACAAGGTGAGGAGCCCGCCGCGGCACCGCTTCGGCCCGGCCCGGTTCGGCCCGGCCCGCCGAGGCCCCTTTCCGCCCGGGGAGACCCGCTAAGCGCGGGCTGGGCCCCGGAGCGGGCGCCTCGCGGCCACCCCGGCGGAGCGGCCCTCGCGCCGTCCCGCTTGGCAGCGCCCGAAAGCGGGATCGGGAGCGGAGCTGGCGCCGGCACCGGCCGTAGATCCTGCCCGGTACCGGGTGTGATCCTGCCCGGCACTGGGTGTGATCCTGGTACTGAGTGTTAGATCCTGCCTGGCACCCGGTGTGATCCTGCCCGGCACCCGGTGTGATCCTGCCCGGCACCGGGTGTGATCCTGCCCGGCACCCGGTGTGATCCTGCCCGGCACCCGGTGTGATCCTGCCCGGCACCGGGTGTGATCCTGCCCGGCACCGGGTGTGATCCTGGCACTGAGTGTTAGATCCTGCCCGGCACCCGGTGTGATCCTGCCCGGCACCGGGTGTGATCCTGCCCAGTACCCGGTGTGATCCTGGCACTGAGTGTTAGATCCTGCCCGGCACCCAGTGTGATCCTGCCCAGTACCCGGTGTGATCCTGCCCGGCACCCGGTGTGATCCTGCCCGGCACCGGGTGTGATCCTACCCGGCACCCGGTGTGATCCTGCCCGGCTATGCCCAGCACTGGGCATTAGATCCTACCTGGCACCGGGTGTAATCCTGCCTGGAACAGGGTGTTATTCTGCCTGGCAGTGCCCAGCACCAGGCGGTAGATCCTGCCCGGCACCGAGTGTTATCCTTCCCAACACCGGGCATTATCCTGCCCGGCTGTGCCTGGCACTGGGCGTTATCCTTCCCAACACCGGGCATTACCCTGCCCAGCTGTACCTGGCACCAGGCACTCCATCCTCTGTGCCTCTGCCCAACACCAGGCGTTATCCTGCCCGGCACCGAGTGTTATCCTGCCCGGCGGTGCCTGGCACCGGGCATTGTCCTGCCCGGCAGCGAGCAGCTCCGAGCCCTGTTGTGCCCGGCAGCACCAGYGCACGCGAGGGGACTGAGCCGCAGTCACACAGACCTTTGAAACGGCCACATATGGCCACAGGGAGCTGCTTTTAGCCTATGTTTTCCCTATCCCTGCATATTTACGCATGTTTTTTTTCCCCCGGAAGGACTGTGCAGCGCTCATTAAACTCCTTTGCTAGGCTGGCTAGTTCTGGATACTTAAATAAAGGCTGGTTTAGTTCTGTAAATCCTGAACCCAACAGGCCTCAGGCTTGTGTGTGTCCGCCCGCACGTGCCCCAGGGGTGTAAACAGACTGTCCTGCAGAAATGTGGCTGTGTCCGTGTATGCGGCGTCGTCCCGTGCCCTTTGTGGAGACAACAGGCGCTTTCTGCCGCTCGTTGCCCCGCTAATTAGCAACGAGCTGTCCTGACATGCCGAGCGCCTTCCGCTTCCGGAGCTGCTCCGCGTTGTCCTGCATGGCTCTGCRCGGCGCTGGGTAAACATCCACCCTCTGGAAAAACAAAGAAACGAGGGAAAAAAATAAACCTAACGCTGCTCGCCTCAGCTTCCCAAAAAATCTGCGCTCGATTGCTCAAAAAGCCTCAGATTGGAGTCAGCCCAAGGCTTCGCGCAGCAGGATCTGGCAGAATTAAACCCGAATAAAAGCGGCGGAGCCGGCCCGTGTGCAAAGCCAGTGTTAGGGTGCTGCGCTCGRGGAGGCTCCGCTTGTTTCCAGGTCACTGGAATTGGCCTCTTTGTTCCTGTAAAGAGCGAGGGTCACTACCAGGGGAAGGACGAAATATGGCTAAATCTGCAAAGCCAGCTTATATTTTTAAAAGTCGCTGCTGTCACGCTGGTTTTAAATGTCACCAGGGTGAGGTGTTTGCAGCGTCCAGTTTTAAACGTTGCACCTCTCTCGTTCTTAGTTCACGGCAAATCTCTTCTCAGCGCAGCTGAGGCCCCGCGTGCTGTTTCTAAACCCTGTTTCTCGGTGGATATTCAACTGCTGCGACGTCGCAGAGCAAGGTTTGCTAGGGAGCCCTCAAATTAAGCTGGAATTTTCCTCTCGCCTCCGGTTTCTCTCCTCCGGCGCTAATAGTGAGTCACCCCGCGTCTTGRGCACCGTTGTTTTTGGGCATGGGACGGTCTTTCCGAGTGTGGGAGATGGGCCTCTCTCGGCCGCTTTCTGCTGGTAGTGCTTCGTGCCTCAAATTCCTCCTGGGGCGCTTGGTAGCTTTTAAGTGTAATTAGTTCTTTTTTGGAAGCTGGAGGCGGGGGTTAAGCAAATATTTGTGTTCGCTATTAGGTCAGAGCAACATATTTAAGGCCTCTCTGAAAGGCTGCTACCCGCTCCGCTTCTCGTAGCTACTGCGGAAGCTTGAAATTGAAATCCATTTTCTTGGTGTTTGTGGGTTTTTTCCCTCCCTCTGTCACGTGGGCACAGTGCTGGGTTGTAGGATCGCTCCCAAGTAATAGAYTCTTCATAGTCATTTAATAATCACTGTTTTTTTTCCAAAAAGAAATGTTTTTTAGGGTGGGTGAGAAACATCTGTAAATAAATGATTATACCTATAATTACATCCAGTAGTGTGTTTGAATAGGTGTGAGCTTGGGCCTGCTGCTCCATGGAAAGCCCGGTGCGTTAGTTGTCGCATCCGTGCTGGGAGAGTTTTTCTTTTTCCAAAGGGCTACTACTCTTACATGCACTCTAATCCATTGCAACCTTCAAATGCTCTTAATAAGGGACTGTTAATTGTGGGTGCCTGAAGGCGGCTGTGATAACAAGGATGGGCAACTCGTGGGTAGCTCCCTGACACTGTTTCCTTGTCCCCTCTCGCTGTTGTTGAGCGTCCTCAGCGTCTCCTTCCTCAGCACCCTCTTAGAGCAGGGATCCTCGTGGCTTTGTTACCTGGAGCATTGGGGGCAGCTCTGGGCTCCCCGGGACAAGGGGGACGTGGAGCTGCTGGAGAGGGGCCAGCGCAGAGCCACAGGGATGGGGAAGGGGCTGGAGCAGCTCGTGTGAGGAGAGACCGAGCGAGCGGGGCCTGTTGAGCCTGGAGGAGAGAAGGGGGAGAGGGATCTGATCAACATGGACAAACACCTGAGGGGAGGATGGAGGGAGGAAGGGGCCAAACTCTTCTGGGTGGTGGCCAGTGGCAGGACAAGGGGCAGTGGGGACAAGGTGAAGCCCAGGCAGCTCCGTGTGGCCGTGAGGAAGAACTTGTTTGGTGTGAGGGTGCCCGAGCCCTGGCCCAGGCTGCCCAGGGAGGCTGCGGAGGCTCCTGCTCTGCAGATCTTCCCAAGGCGCCKGGATGCGCCCGGGTGCCCCGTGCTCTGGGTGTCCCTGCGGGAGCAGGGGCTGCGCTGGGGGATCCCTAAGGGTCCCTTCCAACCTCAGCCATTGTGTGGGTCTGGGATTCGTGGGTGCCAGGGTCACCTTTCAGGGAAGCTGCAGCTTTTTGGTGGTGCTTTCATCCCTAGTTTGCACAGGGCCCGGATGAGCTGCAAAACTACACGCCTTGCAAGGCCCTGCCGCTTTCCAAAGGTTCTCGGTGCCGTTGGCCGTTCCTGGTTTGGTAGCATGAGGCTGTCACGGCTGTGAAATAGGTGATGTGGATGTGGAGGTGCTGGAACCTGGAGGGACGAGAAGAGAGGGTTTGTGTCAGGGTCAGGGTTTGGGTTTGTGTCAGGGTCAGGGTTTGCTGAGCGCTGTCGTAGCACAATTTCCTCCCTTCGAGTTTCAGCTTATTAACGACTGCAATCGGAACGAGGCTTGGGGGAAAGGATGCTCCAGGTCAGGGTGGTGGCAGGTTTGGGGCTCACTYCCCGTCCCGTAGGCATGGAAGGGAGTTGAGGTCTCCTCCGAAACGTGAGTGAAAGACCCCACTGTGATAGCACCTCCTGCCCCTGAACTCGAGGCCTTTCTTCTCGGGGATTTTAATACAAGTGCCCCAAACAAAATTTTAAGTATTTATCGATTTTGGAGACTGGAGAGAAACGAATGGTCAGTGCAAACTGTTTTTTTTTTTTCTTTTAAATGCTCTTGTTTGGCAGCTGAGCTGAAATAAATCGCGTATTTGCTGAGGCGGGCGGCCCGTGCAGGCCCCGGCGCGCCGAGTAGCTGTGTGTCCGTGCCGAGAGGCCGCGGTGGAGCGCGGGCCCGGCCTGCCTGGTTTGGACCCTCCCGAGCAGGACTGCGAGCAGCGCGCCAGCGGCTTCACAAGAAGTGCAGCAGGAGAGAAATGTGCCGGGTTAACAGCAGAAACAAGAGATGCTTTTATTAATGGAAATTTCATTCCTTCTTCAGTCCCCCGGGCCAGTCTTCCTTCACCCAGACTTATTCTCTTGGCATTTTGGGCTGGATTATTCTCTTTTTTTAGTGTAACTTTTGCGATTGTGTCCAGCATCACTGCTGCCCAAAATGCTGAGCAATGAGATTGGATCATGGCAAAGAGACAACCTCTTGCCCTCTCAAAAATGGTTTTGTTTATGTATATATCTATATCTATATCTATATCTATATCTATATCTATATCTATATCTATCTATCTATATATATATATATTTTTTTTTTTTTAAAGAAATGTCATAAAAAGCAGGATTCTCTCCAGTTCAGGTCAGGCTTGGGCCTCCTTGGGTGATCACTGTCTGATTCTCAGCGCTCTGGAGCAAACATCATCCCTGTTATAGTCAGTGGGTGCTGAGGAACTTTATCTTGTGTTTTGCAAATATATCTTAATGTCATTCCGATGTCACAGATCATGAGAAGTTACTGATGGAGGCATTAAAGTTACCAGATTAAAAATGAAAGATTAAGTGTTATTTTTTTTTTAAATACCAGAGCAGAGTTGTGGCTATGGGGGGGGTTAATCTTAACCCAATGCCCCAGACGTTGCACAAATAACGTTTGGGGGCTGCAGACCCACTGTGGTTTGGTGCCTCTCGTCCTCGTGAATATTCCCGCTGCCGGAGGATTTCTCTTCTGGAAAACTGCTTGCTTTTCTTCTGAG